TGTTAAGGGATGCTCCATCTTCCTTTAATGGTCCGGACATGAGCACTAACTCTTGTCCTAGCCCTATATGCCCTATGGTTATAGCGCCATTGCTCGCTTTCTGAAAAGAGATGAAGGAAATGTTGAAAAGGGAAAAGAGCTAGTTTTGTGGGCATCTTTAAGAGGAAGTTAGCGTTAGCGTTAGCGTTAGCGTTAGCGTTAGCGTTAGCGTTAGCGTTGTTATGATATACTTCGTAGATTGGATACTAGCGACACTCACGTCTTTTCTGAAATCCTCAGTTAGACTACTTTCAGGAATAATGCTGGGGAGTAAACATTGGTACCAATCTAAACAAGAGTAACAGAAGTATGACTGTCGCTATTCCCGGCCACGCCCATCTTTACCATAACTAGGGATAGGGAAGGAAATGTTGATGTAGTACTTACTTAACGAGATGCCACCGACTTAGCGACACCCTCATAAGTGCTACGGAGTTGGAGGGTTGGGTAGGGTATTCGGTTAGGATTCGCCTCAAGTTGGCGATGCAACCAAAAGTATGTATTGTTTATTTGTTGTTCAATTAATCTCTCGATAGCCGACTATCGAAAGAAATTATTCATTTTGTTTAGTGATCATGGATTTTAAGAGTCACGATGGAGAGCTTGGGATTAAACCCATGATTTTCTGCTCAATAAGCAAAAACGATCCCTCCAGGGTCATCGAGAATCTCAGAATCATAACGCTTCGCGACAATACAGGACTACGTTTTCGCTTGATATGCAAATAGTTTCCGAGGTTAATGTTCAATATCAAATATACAAATGATGGTGCCGATTTATTGTGCTGTGGAAGAGCTTGGGGTTAAATCCATGATTTTCTGCTCATTAAGCAAAATCGATCCCTCCAGGGTCATCGAGCATCTCATAATCCACAGCGCTTCGTGTCAAAGTACGAATATATTGATAAACTATCTATTATTGAATAACTATTATTTACGATAATTACATGAAAGAAATAAAATATAAACTACAAACAAAACGTGACTACTAAAATCTCAAAAATATATGCTCACAAATATATTTCACGCAACCAGGAATTTAAAAACCATTAGACGCTATAATGATACTTTGCACATGTTAGACACAAGAAGAGGCCAAAAAGCAAGCGTCCGACACACAAAATCCGCCCAAAATCCACTTGCAGTCACAATCAATGATTCTACGAATCGCGAGCACTCACGAATCATAAAACCGCTGACTGCGACACTCTGAAAGCGAAATTGACAGGCTCTATGCGTCAAACACCCGCCCTTCAATCTCCTCCCGCATCCAACAACACAAATCTCCATTACATCATCTAACGAATTCAAAACTCCGAAAATCACTCATCTATAGCAAGTGAGTGGAAGCAACCTTGCATGCAACCATTCTTCATGATACTCTTTTTCTGTCTATCTTTCTATTAGGCTTGTGGACATGCGTTAGCTTCGAAACTTCTAACCAAAGTGGGAAAAATTTCAGATCACAAAAAAAAAACTTGAAAAAAACTTTCAAAGGTAATTGCAAGTAAAATAAATATTGATTATTTAACGCAAAAACGAGCAAGTAATATTTAATATCTTGTATCGTATGCTAATGCTAATTGACTGTAACAAAAATAATATGCTTAAATAAAATAAAATATTAATAAAATTATATGCAAAATTTACTTTATTGGTGAGAAGTTTCTAATAAGCCCTCCCAGTTCCTCTGTATACAGAACAAATCTGATACTATAATCAGAATTGCTCAGTCTGCATGAAGCAGCCGATTTCATCAAGGAAGTTCTATTAACAACCAAGAATTAATCGTTTGAGGCATACTGAAGCATTAAGAAGGTGATATGTGTCACTATAGGAAATCATCATCGTTGCAAATATAAAGAAATTAAACATAACCCTTTGCTTCAGTACCGTCAACCTCCATGTCCATGGGGAGGGCATCTTTAAGAGGAAGTTCACCGAACCGAAAATTAAATTTCTTATTCGGTTCGATTTAAATTTTTCCAAAAATACCGGGAAAAACATAAAAATCCAAGAAAATCAGTTCCTGCCTCAGATTCCTGAGAAAATTCACATGCAAAAACATGTTTTCTGATGAGACAAAAAACAAAAATAGACGCTCTGCAAAACCGAAAGGTCGCTGTTTCGTGTTATTTTTTTGAGTCCAGCTTTATGCCATGATGACTAGAAAATTAGATTTCTGTTATCTCTCTCCAATACCTTTACAAAAATCAATTATATTTTCGGTGCCGTGAACTTCCCCTTAACTGGATATCTGTGTGTGATTCCAAGACAGCGTACAAGGGGTTCACTATAATAACCATCCATTCGCCGCCTATTTCTTAGAGCAAGAAAAGGTTGTTCCATTAAACTGTATCATTATCTCCGACGTTCTTGAGCATTCCACAGCTATCTTCCACAGTTTCCAGAGGCAGTTTATGGCATTCCTGAAATCTCGGCTCTCACATTTGATTAAAATTATATACTTTTCTGATGGTGCTGGTTCGCAATATAAAAACCGATTCAACGTCATCAACTTGCTCTACCATCAAGAAGACTTCGGAGTTCCGGCTGAGTGGCATTACTTTGCCACGGCACACGGCAAAGGCCCTAGTGACGGTTTAGGAGGTACCTTGAAAAGATTGGCAACGAGAGCCAGTCTACAGGGTACAACGATACAAACGCCAAAAGAGTTATACGAATGGGCACTGTCAAATTGCAATTTGAATGTACAATTTGTGACATCGGAGCAATGCAATACGAATAAGCAGGATTTAGAAGCCCGATTCGCTCTAGCACGACCCATTCCTGGAATTCGCGGAATGCATTGTGCCACCCCTACCGGCGAAGATACTGTTCTTATGAAAACGATTTCTTGCTCTTGTTTCAAAAAAGCGTTCAAATTCACTACCCAAATCTAAGGCAAAACGGAAGAAGTAATTACTCATGCTACTCAATGTATTAGATGATATTTGTTCAATAAATGATAGCAATAAGTAGGATAGAAACACGGCTGCTTTAATTTAGAATCAAATTAGTTTTTGAATATTTCAAAAGCTTATTTAAAATAATCAGTAAATAAAGAAACACAAAACGAATGGATCTGCCTAAAATACCATGTAATACGAAATACATTTCCAAACGCAAAAAAAAATAAAGTGTTGGAAATAAGAAAAATTATCAATCTAAATTTAAGTTTGCAACGGTGGCAACACTGTCGAAACAAATCTGGTTTAATATTATCTGAGCATTCGATTGTATAAAATGAAAGAAGGATTAGATCATCATCTAACTTACACGTTTCATCGTTTCTATCAACTTTCAGGATTGTCCAACGTTTCATATTGAAGGGTTGTACAGTAATGGAACTTTTTAAAAACAAACGAAAAAAGTTGTTTTTGGTGGTTAGATGATTCTTATGTAAAAATGTCTGCCGAACATTTTGGTGCATTCAAAATTAGAAAAAAGTGGCGACATTTTGAGATATTTGCATTTTAAATTTAAATTGCAAAAATCGACAAGTTGACAACACTGCATAAAAATTCTGAGTACGCCATTTGATTGTACGTTAAAAATCCTTTTAAAAAAGTGCCCAATCCTGTCTGTAGCATAATTTGGTCCAGAGATATGTTCAAAAGAAAAATGGTGTTTCTTTAAGATCGGAAAAAAGTAGGGGCAGTCTCCAGAACCGGGGGGTGAGTCGATGGGTACAAAACGTTGGATTTTTGATTGTTGGCCTAAAATAAGTCGTTCTTCCAAGTTTGGTTCAAATCGGAGAGCGTCGATGCAACGGACTCGGTCACTTGAGATGGAATGACCCATATATAAATTGAAATTGTTCGCAAACTAATATAAAATATGGAATGATCTCACCGACCTCTCAAAACTGACATGGTTTCCAAATCGCAGAGTCTTCGTTTTGTAAGCAGCAAAAACAGAAAAGCAGCAACGCCTCAAGCGATAGATGTACCGCTGGTCGTCTTCGGCCTGCTTCTTTTTCAGCTCGAAAACATAAATACACCGGAACTGCTGCTGGTTTCCGAATCTTCAGCATTCAGCTGCTCCGAAATATCAGAAGTAAGCAAAATCGTAAACGCACCATTACACTTCGCAACCCGTAAATTTTACTCTTGAACCGCGCACTAGAAAATACAAATCTCACGACGGAACCGAAAATAACGGAAAACCCGAATCACAGCTCACACGACCGGAATTCCGTTAAAAATACTCATGGAAATAGCCTTCAATTTTTATACTCACACACTAAACGAAAAAATGACAACTGACAAATTTTCGCGTCCGTTTAGAGGCAGGGCACACTTCGATCTCATATCCAGCGGCATTTTGAGATATTGAATTAAATGACCATTGCTTTGACTATCCTACCCGGGCATTTTTGTTCGTAGAACTGTCCCACTCACTTTGCTAGTAATTCTCCTACTAAATAAATGTCTTAAGAAAATTACATTATTTTTCAAATAGCTACTGCTAATTACAAGGAATTGTATTCGATAAAGTGTACCGCTTTCAAATAAAACATGGGTATGTATGAAAGTATTTCATAGCAAAATTATTGAAAATTTCCAATACCATAATACCATCCTCCAAGCAAAGCGTTTTAAGTGGTTCTGATCCATCATCTGCTTTCAGTTCACCGAAAGCCGATGATCAAGTAAATATAGAACAGTACCCGGGAATAATTAAGTTGCTTTGGTCGTAGCCTTGTACTAGCGCCTGGAAAGATGTTATACCACACATCTTGGAAAAAACAATTTCCTAGCAAACAAAATATCTCATACTAACCCGGCGTAACAACAAGGAAGAATGTTTTCACTGGAGAAATTCCAGAGAACAATTAAACACATCTTCCGGCACCGGAACCAACCAATATGAATAAGCTTCAAACGTCACTCATAGTCCAACGTTGCACAGGCCAGCTTCATTTGGCATCCGTTTCAGCCCACGGTGGCATGGACTTACCTTCATATCTTCCAGGTCAACGCAGTTGGTGTAGTTGGACCACTCTCGGTTCGATTCCGGATGGATAAACCACGATCCATTGGGATGGCAGCTGTTGATGGCGCACGAGAACGGGTATGAAGGGGAAAAATCAGCAATCGAATGTCAGATGCATTTTAAACACTTATGTCGACGAGTAATTTCACTATCGCCGTTGTGATAAGGCTTGTTAATGTGTAAATTTTCAATTGGTTTTACTTACATCCGGTAGGCCAAGCGGTTGGCATCGAACCCGCGGACAAAGTTGGGACAATAGTTGTGGGCGACCGTACCGGCTGGTTGGGAATCCCAACAGGTCCACCCATCGAAGCGGCGGGGGCAGAACAGTTGCGTCTGTTGCTCTTGTAGCTGATGTTGGGCATTCGGACTGATGCTTTTCAGTTCTGCGGCTGCAAAAATAGATTAATAAGCAGGGAAAAAATGCTGTTGAATGCAAATGAGATCAGGGACACTACACTTCAGTCGGTTCGGTTTGGTGCTGTTGTTGTCAGTCGTCGTCCACGTCGGTTAATGATGTTCCGACAAACATATGTGTTGATTGAGATTCAATGGAATCTCGTGGGTACATTGTCATCTAGGTATCCATTCATGATGAGCAATATGATCTAGTATACAATGTCATCAGACTTGCCAATATGCTTTAATTTATAATCAACGTGGGCAATACTATTTCTAGATAGAGCTGGAATGAGGGCCTAACAGCTTTTATAAACAATGACTTCTCTTGATGATTTCTAGAAATTCAAGGCTCGCCCACGCAAATCAACATTCTCATCGGGTAGGAAAAAACTTCCCCTATCCGATGGTTAGGTTGATCTGCGTGGACGTGCCTTGAATTCCTAGAAATCATTGTTAGAAGTCATTGTTTACAAAAGCTGTTACGCCCTAATTGCAGCTCTATCTAGATTTACATTATTTGACAAATCTCAGATAATCATGACAGCAGTTGGTCACTTTTCAAACAACAGTAGGTCTCTTGATGTTTAATGGTTCACGCACAAGCTACTTCGATCCCATGCATTTCAACATTGTATTTGGTGCATCTGTGCTATTTTCAGAGTTGAACAATGATTTCAATTAAATGATATACCTATGGTTACGGTTGTCACACTAATTCCCACCGAATCAAGTTTCAATTCTAAGAGATAAATTAAAATAAACTTAGCATTTGCACTGTTAATTCATTTCCCGCTGCATGTCAGTTGACACAGCGGTTGTCTGACTTTCTGAAACTCTGTTTTACCACGCCATTTACGATTTATCTATATGGTCTAGAGATGAGCAGAGTTGTCTGTGCAGTAAATTGAATTTCCTCTCGACGCTCGTAACTTTGAAAAACGCTCGAAGAATTCCTAATTTCCACCAACGAGTCAATCTTGATTAAGTACCGTACCTACCTAGATGCTCGAATTCAATCAGCACAACTATAGTCGCGCTTCGGGAAAATAAAAGGACCAACCTTTCACTCTCGACATGCAGTTCCATCCACAGCGTGAAATGGAAAGAAAATAACATTCCTTCAACGATATGTGAACTCCCATACGTGTAAGTACCTACACAGATGTAGACATACCTACTCTAGCAAACTTACAATTGAATCAAAACTGAACCTTCCCCGTCCCTCGTCGGAAAAGTCAAAGTCAAACAGAACAGTTCCATTTCCACCCCCCTCCATCCTCTGGGAGCCAAGGAAAACTTATCCGTTTCAACTTGTTCTGATTAAATCAGCAAGAAGCGTTCACTCCCAGTAGGACACGGATGCTGCGCTGCAGAGCTGATCGTCTTCTATCCTGACCTGTCTTAATATGCTCAAGCATGATGCAAGGCAAACTGAGAAATATTCCTTTTTTTTCAAGCCGTACGATAGATGAGACGCAATGTTAGTGTCAGTCTGCGTCATTCAAGAACAGATGAGGTGTTTGAAAGTTTCAGCCATGAAACTTGGAAACCACGAAACGACCTCTTGGTTGACCGACTGGCCTCCAACTGGAAGAAACCGCAGACGTACACGTCCCATTCCACCCCCAGTTTTCCCGAAGGAGGAGCAGAATGCTTGACTGGTTGAGAGTTAACAACTGCAAAAATTAGTTTTCCATAGTTGAAATGCCATGCAGCAGCATGTATCGAGGGAGGGGGATGATTCTGGCTCTAATATGATCAACGATATGACATACATTCGTGTGTTGTTGCCATGAAGCACGGTGAACATCCCCGAAAGAAAGAAAGAGTACCTAAATCGTTATGAACTTCTGTGAACAACGATCCAGTTTAGCTAGAAAACGTTATTACCGATAAAGACATAGTTTTACCTAAACGCTTTTATTAAACCATGCGATTCTTCGTGGAACCATGAAAGTCAAAAGGAGAAGACGATAAGTAGTCGTTCAGGAAAATGGCTAGGGGACCATGCATACATGACGGTGCATTTTAGGGAAGGAGGGAGAGACCCAAATTGTGACCGACCACGCATTGCGTCGAGTTTAGAAAAATACGGGGGACAAAAATATGCTACGTCATTTAAGTATGCTCCTTTGCTGCACTTTATCTATTATTTTTCGCTCTTCCAGCATCATCTGTAGTGGGTACAAAACTTGCGAAACTTTGACGTACAAGAAACTTTTGCACTGTGAACCTAATTAGAAACCAAGTTGTATGCTACAAAGAAAATCGGGCAGAATCAATCGAATAGTTCAAGAAACGAACTAATGGACGAATTGATTTGATGGCAACGACTTTGCTAAGCTGTCTTGCCCCTTGGTTGCTAGAAAAGAGAAGTGAACAGTGAGATATTATATCTAGCAGCACCTGTATAAGCGATTTTATATCATCAGGGAAAGCCATGGTGATCAGCAAATCTTGACGAGCAATTTCGACTTAGGACTACGTCTGTGATTGCTGTATGGGGGTACACTTTGTGAAAACCGAAAATTGAACATGTAACAAAATTATGAAAGATTTTGAACGTTAATAACTCAGCTGCCCCTGGACTAATTTCAATAATTTTATCACCATTCGATCAGAAATATTTTCATGCATCTGTAAAGGTTAAGACATTATCATTTTTCAAAATGTCACTATTGAAAGTTGCACAAATGTGCAACTGTTGCAATGATAATTAAAATTATCGTGGATTGTCTGCGAAAAGCGATTTCCCTAACACAGATTTCAAAGTTGAATTCCATCCGGTCTCACCAAACGGTGTTTATTCAATTACGCCGTGGTGCGTGGTGGCGTTCTCTAGTACACAACGAAAGGCTGCCTGCAAGCAGCGAGCTGCAGACCACATGAGCATCCATAGAAGAAGGGAGAAGCCGTACCGCTATTGATCGGAATCAGTACCTCTTCGTGAGTCGCTGTGGGCCATCTATGTCAAGCGCGTCATACTAAAGAGTATTAACAGAGAGAACCTCGCTCAAATTCATATTCCTACACAAATAAAAAAGCTCCTGCTGTTGTTAACACATGAGATTTAATATATAAGACCACGTAGTCCTACGACACCATTGTAGTTTTTTAAATAGTCCAGAAATTCTCTGTTGTATTTATCCTACGATTTTCTTCGAATTGTCCAAGAACACTTTGCAGTTTTCTCCAATAACTCTATTTAAAATTCGTTTGAATTCTCTTAACATGTATGTAATTATCTAAGAGTTCTTCTGATCATTCACCTGCAATTCTTGATGGCATTCTCAAGAAATTCTTCACAAGATGCCTTTGAAACTTTCCTCGGAATGCCCATAAAACTTTTCTCGGAATTCATTTGGAATTTTACCCTAAAAATTCAATACCCTTGAGATTTTTCCTGGTATTCTCTTGGAACATACTTCAGAATTCACACACATAACATATGTGGAACTTTAAACTAGATGCTTGTCAACAAATGAGGTCATTTATTTTACTATCCTTACTTACCTTACCAATCAGGCTAAGGCCTTGTTGTCCTCTGCTGTCCGAAGAAGTCGTTTCCACTCTACTCAATCCATGGCCACAGTTCGCCAGCCTCGTAGTCTGCGAAGGGTCCGCAGGTCACCTTCTACTTAGTCGATCCACCTTGCCCGCTGCGTGCCTCTTCTTTTTGTTCCTGTTGGGTCGCTTTCTAGAACCATTTTCACTGGGTCGTCGTGCGGCATTCTTACGACGTGCCCAGTCCACCGTAGTCGCCCAATTTTTGCAATGTGGACGATGGATGGTTCTCCCAGCAGCTGGTGCAATTCGTGGTTCATTCGCCTCCTCCACGTTCCGTCATCCATCTGCACTCCACCATAGATGGTACGCAACACCTTCCGTTCGAAAACACCAAGGGCGCGTTGGTCCTCCACGAGCATAGTCCAGGTCTCGTGGCCGTAAAGGACCACTGGTCTAATCAGCGTCTTGTAGACAGTCAACTTCGTGCGGCGGCGAATTTTATTCGACCGGAGCGTCCTCCGGAGTCCAAAGTAGGCACGATTCCCTGCCATAATGCGTCTTTGAATTTCTCTGCTGGTATCATTTTCGGCGGTCACCAGTGAGCCCAAATACACGAACTCATCGACCACCTCGATTTCGTCACCGTAAATCTGAACTCGGGGTGGGAGGCTAACATTGTCTTCCCTAGAACCTCTTAGTTCATGTATTTTGTCTTTGATGCGTTGATGGCAAGTCCAATCCGTCTAGCTTCAGCCTTCAGTCTGATGTACGTTTCCGCCATCATCTCAAAGTTCCGTGCCATAATGTCAATGTCATCGGCGAAACCAAGGAGCTGGATGGACTTCCTGAATATCGTGCCATTCGTGTCTATCCCAGCTCTTCTGATCACACCTTCTAACGCGATATTGAACAGCAGACACGAAAGTCCATCACCCTGCCGTAACCCCCTTCGAGATTCAAAGGGACTCGAGAGTGTCCCCGATACTCGAACAACGCACATCACTCGATCCATCGTCGCCTTGACCAATCACGTCAGTTTATCCGGAAATCCGTACTCGTGCATAATCTGCGACCGATTCGAAAAGCTCAACTAAAAATCGTGCATAGGACACCGTGATGGCGCAGAACAATGGTGAGCCGCCGAATCCAGGTGCCGGACAGATGCCACAACTACCGAACATTCAGGATCAGGTGATGCAGATCTTCACGAATCAGCAGATGTTGATGGCGCAAATGAAACAACAGCTGGCCGCCAACCAAGTTGCCATCAGGAATCTCTCCCCCGATGAAAGAGTGCTGGACTCGTTATCGAGAAACATGGCGGAGTTCGTGTATGACAAGGACAATGGTCACATGTTCGACGCATGATTTTCTAGATACGTCGATCCCTTTGATAAAGACGCTAGAAAGCTCGATGACGCGGCAAAAGTACGGCTGCTTCTGCGAAAGCTAAGCCCACCCGAATCCGGTGACCCAATCACGTGCGCTGTAATAGCTTCATACTCCCGAAGCTTTCTCGTGAGTTCTGTTTCAAAGAGACCGTCGAAAAGTTAAAGTCTCTATTCGGAGCCTGGATGGTGATGATTACCTGGCATACTCATGCAAGGTTAATAAGGCTTGCGTCAATTTCAAGCTTTCGGAATTGACTGAAGAGTAATTTGAATTCCTGATTTACGTCTGCGGTCTAAAGGGAAAGCAGGCTGCTGAAATCCGAATTCGACTTATCAACAAGTTGAACGAATCCGTCGATCTTACGCTACAGCAAGTCGTGGAGCAGTGTAACAGAATTGTCAACCTAAAGTAGGACAGCATCTTAGTCGAGAATCCGTCGTCCGTTGCTTACGATAAGTGGCTGAAGTCGAGACATCAGTCAGCAGTATCGAATTCGTTCCATCCCCATCAACGCAAGCAACCGAAGACTCCCTGCTGGTCGTGCGGGGGGATGCATTACAATAAGGACTGCCGATTCCGCTACCACAAATGCAACGAGTGCGGTAAGGCTGGGCACCGCGAGGGCTATTGTGCCTGTTTCAAATCGAAGGCTTCGTCTAACGCATCGATACACACTGCATCGAAGAAGAAGAAGCGACCGTCGACGAAGACCGTGACCATCCACAACATCAGTCAGCGTAGAAAATTCGTCGAGCTCCAGGTCAACAACGTTCCTCTACGATTACAATTGGACACAGGATATCCATTATTTCGCACCGAAAACGAAACCAACTGCACGAACAGCTTCCGGACATCCACTCAAGCTAGTTGCCGAGATGTTGTGTAGCATTTCCCTCAGCAACGTCACCAAAGATGGTAAGTGCTTCGTTGCCGCTCCTAACGTCAGTCTTGATATTTTAGGCATCGACTGGATGGATTTGTTTGGGTTATGGAACCAACCAATCGCATCGTTTTGTAATCAGGTCAGCGCTCAACCAAATCAGTCGCTTGATGCCAGTTGATTGGTGGAGCGTTTCCATTATCGGTGTACTAAAGATTTTTCGGCAGTCTTCTCTTCAGTTTGCTATTATTGATTCAACAACATTGTCTAAGCTACATCGCCCAGTTTAGTCCCGGT